CCCACAGAGACACGGAGAGCCTGCTGCTGGATGGGCAGCTTGTCACTTGCCAGTAGCAATTTCAAGCTCCTTGCCCTCTCAGTTGCAACTGCTTTGGCGACTGCACCGTATCCTCCAGCTGACAACTTCAGTGACCGCAGTGCTGGGACATCCAAACAACTCTACCCATGTGCTGTCACTGGGATTCCCAGATATTACCAGCTCCCAAGTCTCAAGACATGCTATTTCAAATCAGGGGCCAGCACCAAAATAATCCTGCTAATTTCAGAGGCCAAAAAAACTTTGAAAGCTCAAATATCCAATGTCTCACAGACTATTTCAGGATGGTGTTTGTGTCCATCCCACATTTCTTCAAAGGCACCAGGGCAATGAAATCACATCATTCCACTTAGCAATATGTATTTCCTCTTCCCACACTGCCTACTTTTGGGCAGCTCCAGGACTGTGTGCCTGGAGCCACAGCTGCTCAGAAAGCAGAGGGATTGCTCCCTGTGGATGCTTCCTCCTGAAGGGGATGTGTTCAAAGGCAAAGTAAGAGTGAATGGCCCATTGACTGCTCTGCTCTCATTGCTTTTTCCCAGAAAATGAGATAAACACAGGAGCACAGACTCCGTGTGGTTTGCAAGCCAGGCTGTCATTACCTTATATCCCAAGGGGATATGGAAAGGTAGGTTGCCAAAAGAACTCTCAGGGCACTGCAAACCCTCTGCCTGCAAGCTGTGCTTCGTACTGGCCAGGACACATCCCAGTGGGGCATTTCTCCACTTCCACACAAGTTCACGACTGCCTGGAGCAGGAAAAAGGCAGCTGCTACAGCAGCACAACTCTACTACAGCGTAGATTGTGTGTGCCACACTGAGGGGCTGCATAGTGGAAAAGTGGAGAAAAATCTCATACGTTGAGCATCTGCACCAGCCGTGTTGCAGAGGTGACAACTGAAGGGACAATAACCAAATGGTCTGTCTCTAAACTCAAGTATTTCCTGTGCAACTTCCCAGATTGCCACAGTTTTGCACAGAGAAGAAATCAAAGTGTCAGTGCATATCTGAACTGCTTTCAAAGCCAGTAGCCACTCTGTGAAAGCTGCTGAGGTTTTACAGAGCTGATAGTTGATGGCATAGAACAAAAATCCCTGACCCCTCCGTCAGCCATCCTGAACTTTACTGTGGGCTGAAGATCCATGGGCACATCAGTACCTCCAGAGCTGGCATTGTCTGCAGGACAGAAAGGGAAATATTCCCATCCTGACCTCCAGCTGAGACTTGCAGCCATCCCTGCGCCCCATCCCTGCACCCCACTCCCAGCCCTGCTGAGCCCGCAGCTGCTCGGGTTGCTCGGAGGCAGTGCTGCGAGGCTCGCTGCCATCCCTAGGTGGTGCTCTGAGGACAGGCAAGGACCGGGCTCCCCGGCGTGCTTGTGCCGTAGTTTCCCGGCCGTGGGTCCCGCAGCGCACCGTTGGGCCGGGATTGCGGCAGCCCCCAGCCGGGTCCCCAGGGCTGGACACAGCTCCTCCAGCAGCTCGTTCCCACCTCAGCCCCTCTGGTTTTCAGCCGCCAGCCCACGCAGCCTCGCACTGAGAGACCCCCACGTCTCCTGCCCACCCTGCTGCTTCTCCCCCAGCCTGCCCAGTGCCCCCCAAGCAATGTGCTCAGCTCCCCCAGCCCCACACGCTGCCTTTTTCCACCTCTCCCCCTCTTGCACAGCCCACATCATTTGTCCCAGCATCAGCAGAAGGCTGGGGCTGCAGGGCTTTTCCAATAGCGGCGCTCCATTAGGGCCCAGCTCTGCAATTCACCCCAGGCAATGGCAAAATTCCCATTGACTTAGCAGGGGCAGGAGCAAGCCCTTAATGGCCTGGGAAGAAGTAGAAGCTGAGCAGAGGTCACACGCCTGCGTGCAGCCGACTCTTCTTCATTCTGGGACAACACCAAAGCCGAGCTGGTTGCAAAAAAGCACTTTTGTTTGGAAGCACAAATGTTATCAACATGAATTCCCGATCACAGAAATCCAAACCCATTTTCTCCCTTATTATCATGTTCCTTGAACATATTTTTAGCCGCAGCGTGTATCAAAATGTTTTGCTGAGCAAATTTTGGGTGAGCTGAAAGGTGCCAATGATGGTTTCTTTTCAAAAGGGTTGGCTGAAAGTGTCACCAAAAATAAAACATGAAACAAGTCTCTCAAGTGTCATCAAAAACAACGACAATGTTCAGTTGGAAGCTGGCAGGAGTGAAAGCAGTATAGTTAGCTGTCATGGGGTGCCGGATCTGAGCCAGTGCCTGGATCCTATTCATAGGGCAAAAAGTCCGTTCTCTCTCTGTTAGATTTCTGATGTTGGAATAGTTTTCAACAGAAGCCAAATCTCAACAAGTGCTGCATAGTCGTTCTGTCCATCAGGTCCTGCAGAAGGGAGGTGTCTTCTCTGGACCAGATGCATCACCTACAGGGAAGGTGATGCTTCACATATCATACACAGCTGCACCCTGGTCAAAATCCCATCAGTATTTCTGGCTTGCAGAGCTGATTTGCAGACCCACCTAGCAATGTCCAGTCTTCCTCGTGGCAGCTTTCCACAGTGGATTCATCAAGGTTGGCAAGGACCTCTAAGATCACCTGGTCCAACCTCCAGCCCGTCCCCACCATGCCCACTGATCATGTCCTCAGTGCCACATCCACACGGCTCTGGAACACCTCCAGGGATGGTGACTGCACCACCTGCCTGGGCATCCTGTGCCACTGCAGCACCGCTTCTTCTGAGAAGAAATTGTTCCTAATATCCAACCTTCTCTCTTGGTGATTTTTCTTGGGTCACGTAAAGGAGTCCCCAACATCCAATTGTACATACACTTGTTGAGATGAGTGCTGCTGGTGCACAAAGTTTGTGTGCACATCACTGAGTGTTTATGGTTTATTGAGTGGCGTAGGATGGCTTATGCCTGCATATATGACATATGTATGTAGGTACATTCAGTGGATATTCAGGCATGAGTACTTTGTGACTGGAGCATGCAGGTGCAGAAGCACATGCACTGAAGGATACACATATCTTTGTGCATTGGCAAAGTGGGAGAAATCTCCCCTAGATGTCCTCATGGAGTGCATCTCCTCACAGACCAGACTCTTAGGAACTAGAGTCGTGGTACATAATCCCAACTCACCTCTAAAGGGTGCTGCACCTTGGTGAGGGGTCTCCAGTGTCCAGCCATGCTCCCTTCTTCGGGGCCACCAGCTCAGTCTGTGTTCTGGTTGCCCATGTCCTCACATCCTCACATGCAGAGTCCGTTCCTCTCGGTCCATTAGTTTGTTTCCACTGCCATGACCAGCGACAGGCACCCAGCTCTGAAAGCTATATTGAAAGCCAGGTCAATACTGGCCTCTGTTTATTCCCTCTGGGGGAAAATAAATAAATAATAGTATGAGGAAGGAGGAGGAGGGAGGGACATTTTTAATCAGCAGTGGGGAGAGAAGGTGGGACACAAACACATGTAGAAAAACATGGCTGCATATCAAGTCATAGGTGAAAAAAGCCAAGAGGTGGCCAGGAGGTATTCCTCTTGAGGTGGCCATGTCTGTGTCCATACCAATCTTGTTACACTATCCCTGTTCCCTCCCAAATACTCTCCCACATTAGCACATTATTCATTTTTCTTCTTCTTCCCCTCCCCTCCCCTCCCCTCCCCTCCCCTC